TGACAAGTGAGCTTCCTCTGGCTAACTGCTATTGCTATGCTACTTGACTGCTACAGCTTGGGCCCCCACTTGGTCTCTAGCTGAATGCCAGCGTTTGCAGTTGAACTGTAACTTCATGTTGACAGGCCGATGCATTCTTGAATGGGGTTCTCGATTCTGGATAGCCTCCTTGCCGTTGAAGATAAGCTATTTGCTGTGCCACAGACTACACTGCCCCCAAAGAACCACATCGCCCTTGTTGATATACAAAATGTAAAGTCGATAGAAATCCTGGTCCCAATAGAAATCGTGATAGAAATCCATCAACTTGCTGTCATAGACAGTACATGCATGAGACGGGACACTGGTACAGGTCAACTTCAACTTCAACAGGTTCAAGTATCTCCTCCATAACTCAGCCCAGACGTTCCCTCAAGCTCTGAAACTTTGATCGACTTCAGAGAATGCCTTCATCAATGCATGGTCTTCACTGGAGGTCACATACGCTCGAACTCGAGCTGGTAGATCATCATAGAGACTCTGGAGCGCTTCCCACGAGCTTTCCTCCTCCTGTAACCCAACCCAAGATACAAGTAGCTGCCATCCATGCTGCCCCTTTCGGTGTGCCTTCAGTTCCTCGACACCTAAGACCATGCCTTGGTTGCCGACATGTGCTTTCATTTCTTCACTTGCACCTAAGCTTGCATCACAGTAGAACTTAAGTCGCGACTCATGGACCATATAGCGTTGTCCAGTGATGAGGTGGCGGATCATGTAGGCGTGTGGATGCTCTTCCACGACTTCAAATGGGCCCACCCAACGAGCCAGAAGTTTGTTGACAGAGAAACGAGAGTCGATGCGCGACCATAGAACGAAATCGCCGATAGTAAAGCTGCACGGAGTACCATTAGAACGAGCCATATTCTGTAGACGGCGTCGCTCACAAATATCCTCCACATCTTTGTGCATATCGGACATGTCCTTCTGCAGCTCTTCAGTCAGCTCAGCGGGTGGTGGTGCTGCTTTTGGCAGTGCAGTAGCCACACCATTTCGCTCGACCACTACTGGCTCGAACGGAGTAGGCCGTGGCAACGCTGTGAAAAGCTCCCCCGGCGACCTGTTGCCGAGTGAGGCCACTGGAGTATGGTTCAGAACTCCTTGCACCGTAGAAACTAGATATTCTCATTCATGCCAATCCAATTGCATCTCCATCAAAAGTACCCGGAGTACTTGTAAAACATCCCGGTTCAATCTCTCAATAGTCCCATTAATCCAAGGTGCATATGCTAGTACCAGGTCTTGTTCAATGTTGAGTTGCTTGCATACTTGTTTTACCACTTCGTTTTTAAAGTGTGAACC